GTACATAAGAATGTATATGTGTGAATTCGGGCATACATGTGGGTGAGTAAAATGTTCCTGGGCCCCAAGTCTGAAAAGACATGACCTTGGGTAACATTGCCAGTGACTAGGACATGTGCACATTGGATGCATCCATTTGGAAACTTCAGTGACCTGGAATGGTGAATACACTGATGGGTTTGCTGCAAGTTAGCTTGTGACAGCCAGTCTGACCGGCCCCTTCCATCTGTGGACGCTCCTGTGCTGAGCCCCTGCAGTGTCCCCAGCCAGCACAGTGTCCCCTGGCCAGCCTTTGAGATTCTCCCCAAGAGTTCTTTCAGTCCAGTCAGGACCCCAAGCTTCTCCTTGGATTTCCATGGGGGGTGGGGGCATGTGTGGAGAGATCTCCTTACTTTTTCAGGTGAGAACGAATCCCACCACATCTGTGATAACGTCTCGGTCCAAAAGGAGATGTCTGTGGTGAGTAGGAACCGCCCTCACCTGGATATGGGGGATCTACCCTTCCTGGGTGCATTTGAAAAAAACTTCCCAGCTTGCCTTGCCCCATAGTGTCTGTAGAGCAGCAGTTCTCAACCTGTGGGTCGCGACCCCTTTGGGGGTCTAACAACTCTTTCACAGGGGTCAGCCGATTCACAACAGTAGCAACACGACAGTGATGAAGTAGCAATGAAAGTAATGTCATGGTTGGGGGGTCACCATCACTTGAGGAACTTATGAAAGGGTTGGGGCATGAGGAAGGTTGAGAACCCCTGCTGCCTCAGGCCTGTCCGCATGCATCCTTCCTCTGAGAGAAAAGGTGACTGGCCCACCAGCACCCCCACAGGTACAGTCCCCCTCGGAAGTCGTGAGTTGCCTGGGCTATGGACCAGCTGTAGTGGGTCCCAGGGCAAAGAACACGTTTTCCTAGAGCGCTCTCTCAGCAGGGACTGGGGACTCAGCCGCCTACCTGGGGCAGGTAGGTCTGAGCTCAGAGTCACTCAGAATTGCCATCTCAGGACTGAGAGAACCTCATGGCCAGCCCTGGGCACAATGGAGCAGTCGCCTCCGCTGCCCAGCTTAGAGTTTCTCCAGCGCGAGTGTGTGTACACCTCACTGAAGCAGCGTACTGAAGCGGCTTCCTGGACCTCGCACCCTGAGCTGTTGCTTTAATAAGTCGGGGGGTGGGGGGGGGGATGCCTTTTCACCAAGCTTCCGGGGCCGGCCTCTCTGGCCCTGACTTGGGCAGCGTGTCCGTGGCTGGTGACGGCAGAACCGTCTCTTCCCGGCCATTCCCTGCACTTTACATCTCATGACAACCCCACCCCAGCTCTGGGACCCACCACCCATGACCCACGATGAGCCTCTGTCTTTCTGACCCTCAGGGTTTGGACCGGCAGATGGGGTCCAAGGAAGACACTGGGGACATATGCTATGCTTCTCTTATTCACCTAAACCACTTGGGCACAGAGGATACCATCTACGCCAACACCCACCCCACCTGGAGGTGCCCTCCCGACCCCTTTCTGTTTGTGGAATATGCCAGCGTCACTGGAAACAAGCCTCCGCCTCCCAAGCCAGCTGTCCCGGAGGGCAATCTTGGGAACTGAGGGTGGATGACCCAACGCCACGCGAGCCAGAGCTGCTCTGCCCTTAGCGGAGTGGTGCCGGTGTGCCAACGTCACTATAGGCTACCAACGGGTCATTCCTCCCGGGCAGAGAGGGATTACGGATTGAATGGTGTCCCCCCATAGCTGGGTCGACAGGGCGGGGCCCTGACTCACAGTATGTTGCGATCTGATGGAATGATCTCCTGTGTTCGAAGTGCTAACTTCTTGATCGGCAGAAAGATGAGCCATTCTGCTCCTGTACAGAGCTAGGGTCTCAAAACCGCACAGGGACAGCTCTGTCCTGTCCAATAGGTCCCATCAGAACCAACTCCAGGTCAGTGAGTTTGATTTTGTTTTTGTTTGTTTATTTCGGGTTTGGGGGGGTGATGTTGATGGGGCAGCTTCGAGGCATTTATGTTAGGGTCTCATCTATACGATTTGGTTACATTTTGAGTGAGCCTTTCCAAGCTTGGGAACTCCCAGGGGCAGGTCGACCCTGCCCTCTAGCGTCTCCATCGCTTGGCGTCCACTTGATGGCAGTGAATTTGATTAGTTTTCTTTCTAAGATTATTATTTTTAAGCATTTATGGTGCATTAGGAGAAGGTTTCACAGTCAACAGTTCACACCCATTTTGCTGCCACTCCTTCATCGCAAGCCCCCTTACCCCACTTCCTCCTGTGCTTCCGGAACCTTGAGCCAACCCCCAGACAAACCCACCTCTGGCGAAGTGATGATCACTCACAGACTGAGGGCGCGATGCACAGAGACTGCTGCAGGACAGAGCAAACTGCGCTCCGGGATTCCCGGGGCTGAAAATCCTCAGCAGGCCACTTCTTCTGTCTCCCAAGGAGCAGCTGATAGGTTTGCACCCATGGGTTAACAGGCCTGTTCTTAGCTCCTGGTGCCACCCCAGGGCTCCTTCTTTTGAGATATAAAAGGGATGAAACAAGCAAGGAGGGACCAGAGGGAACTTCTACTGCTGAGAAAAGAGATCCGGGAGCAGAGCTTGTCCTTTGGACCCAGGGAAACTTCTCACCCAGGAGGAGAATGGATGACGAGGACTTCCTTCCTCTGAGCTGGCACCATGAGTCGTGCCTGCTAGCCTCCTACAGGGTGAGAGACTAAATGTCTCTGCGTTCAAGCCTGCCACGTGTGATCCTGGTTATCGCGCCTACAGGACAGGAGCTGGGGAAAGCCCCGTATCCCCTGAAAGACCAGGGTTGTGGGTGTAGGAGGTTGTGGGTGTAGGGGCATGGCTGTCATAGAGGGAGTTTCTGAGCTACAAGGACAGAGCCCAACTAGATAGGGGTCTGTGGCCATCACTTCCTTCCTGACCAGGACCTACGAAATCCTAGCACTTAGTACAGCTTCCTCTAGTAAGGACTGTCTCCCAGACAGCTCCCCACCCCTTCACTTCCCTCCTGGGGCCTCTGTCACCTCCCACGGTCCTCCTAACTCTAATCCTCACGTGCCTGGAGGTGCTCAGGAGCCCACACCCCCTGCCCTCGGCTCGCCCGGTTGGATAGGCAGGTCTCCCCATTGCCTCTCATAGAGCCTGCACTCAGAATGAACAGATATCGGCTTCAGTGCCTTCCACAAGGACCATTGTCCAATCTGCTAAGTGGACTGCGCGTGGGGGGTCCTGCTTGGCTCAAGTACGTATCCCAGGGGCCTTCTGGAGACTGGGCCTCTGTTTATCTTGTGACCCAAAGGTGGCAACTTCAGGTCACGTGGTCAGAAGGTGACACCCATTACGTCATGGAGGTGGTGAGGTGGGGGGGGGGGAGAGGGGGGAAGATTGCTTGGCCTTGTAGATTCATCCCTTCCCAAGGTAGAGCCCTGGATCTAACTGCCAAAGGGATGCCAGAACTTCCCCCTCCGTCCCGCAAAGGTCCCAATAAGGAGTCAGAGCCTCGGCTTCCAGCTCTGGGAGGCTGAGGCCTTTCCCTCCGCCACCCAGGAAGCTCTTTACTCACGGTCGGTCGGCCAGATACGACCTTGCTGGCCACTCAATGAGACATCAGCCATGTCCTTGGCATGGGGCCTGAGGATCAGGTTGGGCCACAGACAGATGGACATGGGCGTGAATGGGCAGTTTGGGGTCTGGCAAAGTGGTCGTCAGTGGGGAGGAAGGCGTGTGCACACCTGAAAGCATGGTGTATTTGCACATCTTCCAGGCCCCCTATGGGGTAGTGGGGTTCTGTCCCCTGTCTGTGGCTCCATTGGACATCGAGTGTTCAAAACTCCAGGGGACTCGGGGAGCTGAGGAGCATGGGAGCAGGGAGCGGAGCAGGATGCGCCAAGGAGCACACTGGATCTTGAAGGCTCTGCTTCCCACCTTCCTTTGCGAGCCCTCCTGCTGCAGCCCCGTTCTGGCTGCTAGAGGGTAGGCACTCCCATCTCCCGCACCCTCCCACTCGATCCGCGCGCGTGCTTGCAGAAGAGGGCAACTGACACACAGGCTCCTAGGTTGTGGGAAACAGAGGACTGGAAAGAGAGTGCATGCGGATAAACTCTTTGTTCTCATGTTTTAAGGAGCCTGGCAGGCCAGGATGCTGAGGTGGAGGAAGCTCTTTAACACTTGTGAGTTAGCGATGAGTCCCAATCGCATTCTCATAATATTGTTCCCCACGGTATTCCCCCATAGTAGTGTTACCTTAAAGCTACCTCGGACAAGCACAGGGGTGATTACTATCTGGCCGGCAGCTTTATCTATAGGAGCAGACATATGCTCTTTCTCTCCCTGCTCAGGGGACAGTCACCCCCCCTTACCTGCCCAGCACTGGTGTTAGATTACTTCCTCCAATGAACTCAGGGGCCTTTAGGGTTAAGCCCACTTTGTTACATATGTGGTTACCTATAATTAAGGGGCTTGCATGCTGCAAGAGAATATAAGCTATTGTTGGAAATATAATCTCTCTCTCTGCGTGGACCTGGCTCCTGAAGTCATGACCGAGGTGGGCCCTTGCATGCTTTGTCTTGTCTGATAGCCTCCCCTTGGACCCATTCGGTTGTGGGGGCTGGCACCCCACACTGGGACCTCTGTCCCTTCCTATTTTGTGGTTCCTGGAAGCATCTCCTTTTAGCAGGCTCACACGTGAAGTGAGTCCATCTTCTCCGTGTTCTGCCCACGTGCGGGCTCCTGCCAACGTTGCTCGGGCTCCAGCCAGCACCAGGAGCCATCTGGTGTCATGAACTTTCAAGATCCAAAGGATTTAGCTACTTGGACTAGAGTTCCTAGACTTTTAAAAAAGCCATTTTGTTGGCACACAATCCACACGTCATACAATTCAATAGTTCACTCATACCTAGAAGAGTTGTACAATCATTACCACTATCAATTTTGCACCTGGGCTATTGAGTGATCTGCATTCATTAGACAAGCAGTTGTGGGTGCCTGTCGCCCGCCAAGCTCTATACTCAGAGTTGGGCTGTAGTTGGGGCTATCGAGTTCCATCCACATTTATGGAGTGTTTTTGATGTGCCAGATACCTCGCCATATATTAGTGAATGATTCAAACATCCGTAAGAGGAAAGTACTTCCCATAAGGCCACATAATGGAACTCATATAGCATGTGGCCTTATCAGACTAGTTTCTTTCACACAACCAAATGTTGTGTCTAAAACACATGTGTTTAAATGTCCTCCATGTCTTGTCACAGCTTGATAGCCCATTCCTTTTTATTGCTGAAAAATAATCCATGGTATCGATGCACCACAATCTGTCCATTAACCTCCTGAAGAACAGTTTGGTTGCGCCCAATTTTGGCAATCATAAATAAAGGTGTGATAAATATTCATGCATGGCTTTTGATGTCTGCAACTCTTTGGGCTGCATAATTTATGCATGCAAGTGGCAACTCTACAGCTGTCTTTGTAACACACTGCCAGATTGTCTTCAGAAGTGAGCAGACCTTCGGAGACACCGAGCTTCTTAGTCAGGGTGATGTAAAAAGTTGGAAATGGAACTGGCGACGATTGCACAGCATGATAAATACCATCCCTATTAGTAAACTGTACACATGAAGACGCGAGCCCCACAGCCATTGAGTTGGCTCTGACTCACAGTGACCCTATAGGGTTCCCAAGGCTGTAAATCGTTAGGAGATCAAACAACCTCACTCTTCTCCCATGGAGTGACTGGTGGGGTTGAACTGCTGACCTTTTGGTGAGCAATTCAGTGTTCACCTGCCTGCACCGCTAGGGCTCCACATGAGAAGACTATTGGAGTGAAAACGTTTTGCTGCAAATGTATTTCATACATGCACACTGTGATAGTTACATAATCTGTTATCAACTTGAGACTATTAAGAGTGAAGGGGTGGAGTGTAGACTGTTAACCAGGTCGCAGAAAAACTACCTCATTTGGAGGTGCCAAGGAGATAATAGCTTGCTGGAGGCAGAACACACACTCTCTACTCATTCCTGTTGACAAGCCACATGGAGCTATGCTGATGGTAGCCAGAGCCTTGGAGCTGGAGGAGCCACTTGGAGACCCACGCTAGTGCTAAGATGCTTCCACTGCCACTGGATCCACAAGACATTACACCTGCTGGTCTGTGATCTTCCTGCACTCAGTGTCAATTCATGTGTTGTGTGAGTCTGAAGAGGAATTTACAGACTGGTACTAGACATGTGGGCTAATATTAGACTTATGGACTTGATATGAACCGGGCTGGGATGTTTTCTTAATGTACAATTACTCTTTAGATAAAGCTCTTTCTTATACGCATATGAGTCTCTGTAGATTTGTTTCTCTAGTCTACCCGGACTAACACACACACACACACACACACACACACACACAGTGGCTGGACTATCTTGCATTCCCATGAGCAGCGGATGAGCATTCCTGTTGCTCCACATCCCTACCAGCATTTGGTGTTGTGATCGCATCTTTCAGGCGGGAAGAGATTTGAAGATGCAGTGATGGTGTTGAGCCGTGGGGCAGGAGCTGGTCTGCTGCAGGGCAGCCGCCTGGGAGCACGAGAGGAGGGT